AAGGAGGGATAAACTTTCAGAACTAGTAGCTTTTTGTGCAATCAGCCCAACAGACTTTATCTCTACAGGAACCCGGTTAAACTGTTGACTGAATGCTCTGATTCTGTATTCCAAGCCAAAACTAAGAGATTAAGGAGTTTATGGTATTGCTGAATAATAATAGCAACAAAGCTTACTAATATTTCGCATATTCGCTATAGAAACAGGTCAAGAAATTAGATATTTACATTAGTATTTTAGTATAAACATGCCTTTGACAGAAACATACAAAGACTAAAGTCTTAACATAAGGGTGTGATGGGAGTTGTGACTGAATATCCAACAGTAATCCCACACAGTTCAGTTTGACAGACTAATTTTCTAGTAAATTGGACTTCTCTACATCTTAACAAAATGGATGATGATGATGATGATTACTTTCTGCAGTAAAAAGAAGCATTTGGATTAGCAGAGTTAACAGGTGTCAAACTTAGTAACATTCTGTAGGCTGTGACTTGAAATGCCCTCTATAAAAAATTATTATATTTGTACCTGGAATGATGATTTCTCATTCTCTTTGTTCCATGGTCTGTAGTCTTGTTCTGTGAATTAAATGTATGCTCATGATGAAGTTAAAACTACAAATCAGATTTCTAAATACTAGTTCAGGTATCAGGTACTGTTTTTAATGCAAAATTCCAGATGCAGAGCTGCTGAAAATAAACATCTCTGACAAGTCTTACAGAGTCTTTGTCAGACATGCTGGTGTCAGAATGAGACACAGTTTTTAACTGTTCTCATTTGATGCTGAAAGTGCTTTCGAATATAGAATGTGAGTGTTGGGGGTCAGGGGAGACTGCGGTGCTGAAGTACCCTCAAGTGTATGCATTTGCTATGCTTAAATAGGAATGAATAAAAAGCATAACTGGACTTAGCTTTTTCTGTAGTTATAGTGATACGTCCCAACACTAAATAATCTGAATTAGTTCTTTCATGTTGACAAATGCTATCACTTCTACTTTGGATTTTTTTGAAGTATTTACTGCCATTACAGTCAGAAGGCCTGAGTTAGAAAACTTGGGAAAGAGAGAGAAAATATTTCATTATAGTCACCATCTCCTGTGGTATGACATCCCCTTGGTATCTATGTCCAAGGATTTCCTTTGATGAGAGGGCAGGTATGTTAACTAAGGAGGAAAATTCCAGAAGCATTTTGTTTCATAAAGGGTTATGCTGTTTGCATGATGCAACACTATGTGAAAGAGTGCCAGGTAACACAGGAAAAAAAAGAAGAAAATTAATTTTTACTCCTCCGAAAAGGATTATGTGTACTTGTAACAGTCCAGACTTACGGTGCTAAAGCATTCCTTTGGGGCTTTGCTATCTCTGTCTCACTGAAGAAGAACAACGATTCTCTAGTTGTTCTGTCAGTCAGATTTGGATTTAATTTGCTGAACTTCCACTGACTTAAGTGAAGACGAGACTTGCGTTCACTTGTGCGCATAGGCAGCATGCCTGTCTCTAAACGAGAGGGCGTGTTGTATAGCCCTTTTTGCCTCTCCTGTTTTTGCAGAGGATGAGTGTACCAACAGACTTCTTCCTTGTTTTTTTTTTTAAAGATAAAATTAGTAGACAAGAATAATATTTTCAAACTTCAATCTATTTAGAAAATGTCAGTGGTGCCAGCCACAAAATGTAACTTTGATTCCCAGGCTTTTAATTCCCAGACTGGAAGTAAGCATGCAGTCCCCAGGCAGGGAAGCTGGAAGTGTGGGTAGTCCTGGGAATGGAATCTCTTCAAACAGATACTGCTTTTGACTGGTACGGAATAAAGTCTTTTCAGTGCTTTCAGACTGACTCACAGTTAATGGTCAGCAGTATTACTGAACTGTTTAAAGTTCTGTATGTGTACAAACAGGACTGTGCATTCTTAAAACACAGATACATAGCAGAGGCAGATTCAGGAACTGAATCATCATATAGTAACGGAAGTATCGTATAATATGGAATGCCAGTGCATTCAGAGCTCTACTTCATTATTAGTGAATCTTTATAACATAAGTATATCACATTTGCAAGCCATACTTTGCTTTGATACAGGCAGCACTAAAGATAAGAAAGCACATACCCTAATAAGGAGAAACTACACTGGATTTTTAAAACAGCTCAAGATAGGTTGGAATGTGGTGCTTAATTGAATAAATGTAAAAGAATTGCTTTGTTCTTTTATGTTGTTTTATAATAGATTCTTTAAAAATAAATTATTTCCATTCAAGGATGATAAGGAGTTATGATAATGATGGCATTGCCATAATTTTACCAGGCTGGTTCTCCCTGGCCCCATTCTCCTGTGAGAACAGTACAAGGATGACAATGGTGACATGTCCTCAAACTGTTTTACCTCAATGAAGAGCTTTTTCTGTCTTTTGTTTCAGAACATAAAGCATTAAACTCGGTAGTTTCAGGACCATTGTGTGATAAAATACCTTAGCTGTGCAACTGTAGACATTGTTTTTACTTTTCTGGTTTTGTATAAATTTTTTTATTAAAGTTCTGACATGTTTTCCACAATTCAGTATGCTTGTGCTGTTTCCATGCATGCATCCATTCTCTTTGTTCTAATTGCCATCCATTTATGACGGTTATAGAGCTCTTACTTATTTTTCCTGTCTTGTTCTCTAGTTGAAGAAAGGCTCTTCTCTCTATTGATCTTATATATTCAGTAAAATTTGAAATTAATATTGATACTTTTTTCCCTGTGTCGCATATTTGATAAGCCTTTCAGTGTGCAGAATTAGAGTAAGAACCTTTTCAATTTTTCAAGGTATAACTGTCACAAGGGAGTTTTCAGTGGGTAGAATTAGAGCATTGGATAGATGAAGAATGGAATAGATTTTTCTAAAGTGCTCAGTTCTAGCCTTACTCCTTAATTTCATTGGTGAATGAAGTGAATATTAAATAATTAACAAAGCACTTTTTGAGATCCCTCAGAATGAACTGCACAGCATAGCAAGATAATCTGAATTGACCAGTGATTTTAGCATTGTTCATTCTGGGGTACTCAGAATAGTAGCATCTGAAAAGTGCAAGATATGCATCATGGAAACATAAAGTCCTGAAGTTGAAAATATGCTATATGGGAAGTAGTGAAGTGAATTCATAGGCAATTTTCTCAATTTAAATCTCTTAGAAGCAAGCTCTAATCAAAGGTGATTCTGTAGGGTGGTTTTTTTTTTTTTATTGGGGTGTTTTTGGCATTGCCAGTATTTTGGGAACATCTCTAGTGACTCATAAAACGTGTGTTTTCCAACTCATTTTGCAAGCCTTCCTGCTCAGCAAAAAGCTTTTAGGTGCTCTGGAAGTTTCACTTTTATTCTTGGAGCTCTAGTTTGCATCAAAACATGGAGCCACATGGAGGTGCAGGAGAGAGTCAGCAGAGTTCCTTTGATTGCAGTCTTGGAAACTTGTACCTTGATCCAAGAACAGAAAAGGCTGAAGATAAACTGCATTAAAATCATACCAGTAATACTCTGAAGAGGGCTCACAGTATGAGGAAATTGATTCTGGAAACAGAAGGATGCTTTCCCCCCCCCCCTTGCAGTGTGTAATGTAAGAAAGGTTTAGGATTAGAAGAACAACAGCAGCATCTCAGTTGGGGGAATAGTGGTAATTTCATTTTAGGAAGATTGATTTGGACTAACTTCTCAGATTTAAAATACTTGCAAGTATTTTGTATAGAATTGCTTTTATTTTGAAACTCCAAAATGGGGGGGGAGGTATCCATTAGATTGTTTGAAGAAACAGCTATGAGATGCATAGTGTTTTGCGAATGCATAGGTTCATGTGAATAAAAAGTTTCTGTGAGCAATTTGAAGGTATTTTTCTGTTGACTGGCTAATAGTTATTCCAATACCTGATATGTTCATTTAGAAAAACATTTTAATGTTGTCTCTGACTAGACAGGACAGTTGTATACAATGTGTATAGACTAGTACAGCGTTAGAAAGATAATAGTGTCCTTATTTTAATGCAGTTTTCAAGTGTCAACTTTCTGTTCCTTAAGTTTTTCAGAAAAGGCTAAGATAAGTAAATTGCTTTTGGGTTTGGGTTTGTTTTTTTTTTTTAATGGTCTTTCACTGCTTGTCTTCATGAGTTCTTTCTTATGCTGTAATGTGGTATGTTTAAAGCTATGGGGCACTTACATGTTTTTCCCTTTCCATTTGTATCACTTTGTTTGTGAAGTATTATCTGGGCAAGCTTTGTGTAATTTTATAGATTTGGATTGGTTAATAGCAGTGTTATACTTTGAGATTACACATTTGTGATACCACATGTACATGTGCATAGGGAGTACAACTTGGAAACTGGATGGTTAGTGCAGGGGGAAATTAGTAACTGCCCACATCACATCTAATCTTTGAATAAACAGCAGTTGTTGCTCTCCAGAGCGTAAATCTACATGATTCCCAAGCATCAGTTACCCTTATCTTAAAAACATAATGTACCATGTACACAATGTAACAGAGGTACTGCTGTTATTTCTCTCAAAACCTATACACAATTGCCAGTAGTTTTTTGGAATATCTAATTTTGTTACTAGCGTAGTAAAAAAAACACCACCACCACCACCCAAAAAAAAAAAAAAAATGCTTAGCAGAGATGTACATATTTGTTGGACAGTATGAATCCAAAAATAACAGGTGAAACATGGACCCAATACAAGTGTTGCAAAGAGCAAATCCCATTTGAAGTATTGCCTTTGCTAGGTAGGGATATTAAAAACACAATTTTTATATCCTTAGAAGAGTACAGAAGAAAAATAGCAGAGTTCTTGGTAGATGAAAGACATTCTCTCTCTCCTGTTTCTCTGGTTTTTGGTTTGGCTTTTTTTTTTTACCCCGTGGCAGAAGGTGAGCTGGAGTAGGGGGGACGGCAGGGTTGGTTTGTTGATTTCTTTGTTTTATAAAACATTCCCCAAGATTGTTTTTTTTCATCTGTTCTTATACATCCATTTTTAAAAGTTTCAGGGACCCAGGAAGACGATGTTTTATGGATAGCAATGGCAGGCACTCATCAGGTATGGGCACTGATGTTGGAAGGTGGAAAACTACCAAAGGGAAGGTAAGCAGCTGTAATAAGAGGCATGTGAAATTGCTGTTTGTCTTGATAAACAGCATTCAAACCCCGAAGAGAGAGATAATCAAATTACACTAAAAATACTTTTTCTCAAGCTGTACTTAGCTTGAAGCTTGCTGCTTCTGTTCAGACTTAAAAGGCGTGTGTCCTTTAAAGTCTGCGTGCTTTTTCCCACACTGTTAGATGAAATGAAATATGCTACTTTCGCTATAAAACTATGACTCGGTAGGGTACATTTGTATAATTGAATGTTACTTTTCATTGCATTTGCTGAATTATCTAGTGATGAATGATAAACTGAGGTGAAATAAAAGTTAGCACAAAGGCATTGAATAATTCCTTGTGCTGCAGCACAGTTGGTTTTATAACTCACAAGTGCTTGTCCTGTAGCTTCTGTTTATGTATAATGTCTGAAGTATTTCAAACTTATTCTTGAACTTGGGTACTGTTTTCCTTTAGTGATTTAAAGAAAGGAGTCTGCCTTCGATTCGCTGGGAGTGGAAATGAAGAGAACAGAAACAACGCATACCCGCATAAGGCAGGCTTTGCACAGCCTTCAGGTCTCTCTCTGGCTTCTGAGGAACCATGGAACTGCCTTTTTGTAGCGGATAGCGAGAGCAGCACTGTGCGAACCATCTCTCTGAAAGATGGAGCAGTGAAGCACCTTGTAGGAGGAGAGAGAGATCCACTGGTAATCACTTCAAACTTCCCCACACTGCCCTACTAATATTCCTCAAGCCTGACCTGGAGGAACCACTTTTGGGGTGAGAGGGTAAATCAGTTTCCGTGGCCATCAATTTCTTAACTTCACTGCTTGGAATGCAAATGTATGCCGGTTGTGACACTCAGGTTGTAGTGCAAATTGTTGCTCCTCAGATAACAAATTAATTCACTTATTTTTAAAGTAGCCAACTTGATTCAGCATTGTGTGGTCATTAAAGCCGGCTGGATTCATATTGATAACGTAAATGTGAGAGTTTCCATTTCCATGGTTAGCATCCACACTTCCCAGTTTTCAGTATCCTTGTTTTGAAGTTGTCTGTCTTTTTTTTTTTTTTTTAAGCCAATGAATTTCCATTTAATTACAATCATTTAAATTCATGTCAACATTGAATAATCAAATATATTAATTTAATAAAATACTTTTGCAGAATTTGTTTGCCTTTGGTGATGTAGATGGAGCGGGCATAAATGCAAAGCTGCAGCATCCCTTAGGAGTAACATGGGACAAGAAAAGAAAACTACTCTATGTGGCAGATTCCTATAATCATAAGGTAAGCATATAGTAGCTTGTCATATACAGGCTTTGCAATTTTTATTACTACGAAGGATTATTTTAGGAACATACAAAGATTGCGCTTGGTTCGGTTAAGCTGAGGAAACAAATGATGTGAGTTCCTTTGTGGGTTCTTTTTCTTTCCTTCCTTCCCTTATGGGTCCTTCTTTTTACCATTGTTTTGCTGTCACATGCTGCTGTGTTGATATGATGATCCCTTGGGGAAGGTTTAAGTTACAGTTCAGACTAAAGACGCTTTCCTTGTATCTTCCCGAAAATACTGAACTAGAGCAAAAGAGCTAGGAGCGCTTAGTCAGGAATACTGCAGGTTTGATAAAACTGGGAGAACAAGAGGACTTGCTTCTCCCTTTAAAAAGCCACCCAAGTTTTGAGAAGTATTGTGGGTTGACTCCATGGAACTCTGAGACAAGAGAGGTTGTTTTGCATGATTGTTCTTATGTGATGTTGTATAAACTTTCATGTCTAGAAGGCTCTTAACTATACATTGATTAAATGCATTAAAAGAAAAGTAACTTGTTTTAATTTGAAGAATAAAGTGTATAACGCTAAATGCTTGTTGAAATTTATGTGGCAAATGAAATTTTGTTTTGGGTATTGTATAAAACATTATAAACTTTTTTGCTATTACTTTAAGAAAAAAAAAACCTCATCTATTTTTAGAGAAAAAAAGATACAGAAGTTAGCTTGCCTGTTTTGTTATGCTCTCACTATTTTGCAAATGTTTCCAGAAAGGCAACAAACATTAGAAAAACAAGCCATTCAGCATACTTTCATACCAGGGGGGTAGGTGCCTTCGAAATTGTGAAAGAGAACACTGAATGAAGACCAAAGGAAGAAGTAAAGTCCAGCAGGGAATGGCAGGGAGGGGAGATGGGAGGTGTCATTTGGTAAAGTATGCTAACTTAGCTTCTAGGATACATACTTGGTAGCTAAGGTACTCAAAGTTAGTGCTGGCTTCTGAAAATGTGGGGCATAAGATAATGCAGAACTTGTAAATCCTGATGGGCTTTTTCAGAGAAGTTTTTTTTTGTGTCTGTCTTTATCTTAGATTAAGGTTGTAGATCCCAAGATGAAGAACTGTGCTACCCTGGCAGGCACAGGAGAAGCAAGCAATGTTATTGGTTCCAGCTTTACACAGTCAACTTTTAATGAACCGGGAGGTTTGTGTGTTGAAGAAAATGGCCGCTTGATGTATGTTGCAGACACAAATAATCATCAGATTAAAGTCCTGGATATGGACACAAAAATTCTTTCCATGGCAAGTAATACTTATTAAACAGGCTGATAGTGGTATTTCTTGATATAAATTACTATTACAGACTTTGGCAAGTGGTATAAAAATCATATAGCTAATAAACTTTTTTGGTACAGTAGCTATATTCACAGAATGATTTGTGGTGATCTGGCAAATAAAAGTTGCCTGTTAGCACAGTTGTTGAAAGCCTTAGTCTTTGGAAAGGCAACTCCTGTATGAAAACAGAAAGTGATGATCCTCTAGAAAAGGAACAGTACAGAAAAATGAGTTATTAAAAAATACAGCCGAGTTTTTCAGTATGACAAGCATTTCATGAGAACTTGCCAACTCCCTTTTTAACAAGTGGAAGTTGAAATCGTTTACGAAGTCCTGTAATTAAGCCGTAAGAGATGATTTTGGGAGGTCAGTGACTTAAAGCAGGATACATAGCGGGCTTCCAAGTTGTCAAATCAAAACCACTGTCATAATTGAGCACTGCTGTATTTCCTTATAAACATGAAGGCAAAACAAATTCGTGCTCCTGTCCATCTTACAATGGCACTATGTCTTAGTGTTTTCATATGTATATGACATAATGGTCCAGCTGTCGTCTTGTATGTTTCTTGCATTTAATAGTACATGATATTAATGTGTGTTTAAATTTTCATATTTTATAATATGTTGGTGGCTTTTCTGGGAAATTATCCTTTACTTTACTGTGCAATCTGCATGGTTAAAATCTTGGATTTTATTACCGAAGCATGCGGTTTACCACCAGATTGAAGAAAATGCCTATAAATTTTATTTAAAGTAAAAATATAATGCAACTGTTAAAATTTTAAATTAAAGGATACTCTAAGTAGTGGATACTCTAAAGTAGCTGTGAATTTTATGATTTTAATAGCAAATATTATTTTTATTTGGATTAATCAGTTTTATCTTTTTCATTTAAAAAAAGAATTTTGTCCTTCCCTTTTTCTTTGTCACTGTAGTATTGTTGCACTGTGTCAGAAAGTTTTACTCCAACAGCCATATTATCATGTGTTAGTTTTCCTAGTCCGTGTCAGCTTTTAAACTGTGATTGTATTGTGAAAACCTATTTGCTTTCAGTACGAATAAAAATAAATATTTTGTTTGATTTCTACTGATAGTTGCCTATCCTGAATCCAGAAGCATGCGATGTTCCAGATAACCTGCCTGTGCAAAAGGATAAAATAACAAACCTTCTAAAACTGCCTAAATCTGCACCAAATGTTCAACTTCCTTCACTAACTGTAGCTCCTGGCCAGACAATTCAGTTTTTGTTAAAGTTGACTCTTCCTCCAGATTCAAAACTGAATGAAGAAGCACCCAATTCCTGGTTTATCACAGCAGAAGGTAAAGTGCCTGTGTTGTTTTATCAGTTCAACAGGAGTAGTTAAGATACAAAGTGGGTTATATCATGACGTGCCTGTAATACAAGGGATCTCAGTCTGATGAATCAAAATGTCCCTCGCAGTCCTGTCTTCCCATTTGACCTTGTGATGCAATACATCTTATTTAGAGTTGATACGTTTAACATTTGGAGTGGGAAGGTTAAAAAAACCCACCTGATAGGCTGTTTTTTGCTTGAATTAATACATGCTGCATTATTTTTTTTAACTTTCTTGGAACAAGCTGCCAGTGAGGGCTTGCAAAGGGTACTGATCCCAGGACAGACAGGCTTTTTGCTCCTTAGATGCTTGCCCTCTCCTCTGTGTCTATGAACAGCTTATCCCAGCCCTACCATCTGTTTCTAGGAGAAAGCTCACCATGAACCTGAAGCATATTCCTGAAAGAGACTCCTTTTTTTTTTGCTTTTATCTCTTCCAAAAAGTATTTGAGGTGCACTTATACCTAACTACTTTGAACCTACTTTGTTATGATTCATATTTGCACATTTCTGCTTGAATATTTCTATAATAAGGTACACTTTCTTACGTAAGAGGTAAATTATGGTATGTCAAGGAAGCAGAAATGATTGGCCTTTCTTGCAAGTTCTTTTGCTGACTTCCTGTGTGGCCTTGCACAACTCTTTCAGTCACTATGTACCTTGGTTACTGTGAAATGGGAATATTATTATTATATTGGAATAATGGAAATATTACTTCATGTTGTGGCAGTTTTCTGAGCCTAAATTAATCTCTCTCAACTCTTAAGTATTCTAAAAGAGCACATGGAACATGTTCATATGGTGTGCGACTGGAGTGGTTTTAATTCTAGCCATTGTTGCCATCCTTACGCTGGCAATTACTATGTCCATAACATGACTGGTAGAATAGATCCTGTGAGTGTTCCCTAAAATTCTGTTCTGTACAAAAATAGCAAGGTTATCTGAAATGCCTTCTTGCACAGGATGACCATTAGTGGGTGTTTGGAGACAGTGCTTTCCAGTGGTCTAGCTGTACCCAAAAGGGAGAATCTATCTGTGCCCTTGGAAGTACTATATGAAAGCCAATATACAAAATAACCCAATTTTTTTTCACAATTCTTTGTGTATTGAAACAGTTTTGCCTGGTTATTGAGTTACTCAGGTGTGACTCATTTGCTTTAAGTTTAATACATTTACGCTCTAGGAGAAAATTTCTTATCTCACTGGAATGTCAATACTTCTAAAAAGTATCCTATAGTAGGTATATTATTTTTATTTGGATTAATCAGTTTTATCTTTTTCATTTAAAAAAAGAATTTTGTCCTTCCCTTTTTCTTTGTCACTGTAGTATTGTTGCACTGTGTCAGAAAGTTTTACTCCAACAGCCATATTATCATGTGTTAGTTTTCCTAGTCCGTGTCAGCTTTTAAACTGTGATTGTATTGTGAAAACCTATTTGCTTTCAGTACGAATAAAAATAAATATTTTGTTTGATTTCTACTGATAGTTGCCTATCCTGAATCCAGAAGCATGCGATGTTCCAGATAACCTGCCTGTGCAAAAGGATAAAATAACAAACCTTCTAAAACTGCCTAAATCTGCACCAAATGTTCAACTTCCTTCACTAACTGTAGCTCCTGGCCAGACAATTCAGTTTTTGTTAAAGTTGACTCTTCCTCCAGATTCAAAACTGAATGAAGAAGCACCCAATTCCTGGTTTATCACAGCAGAAGGTAAAGTGCCTGTGTTGTTTTATCAGTTCAACAGGAGTAGTTAAGATACAAAGTGGGTTATATCATGACGTGCCTGTAATACAAGGGATCTCAGTCTGATGAATCAAAATGTCCCTCGCAGTCCTGTCTTCCCATTTGACCTTGTGATGCAATACATCTTATTTAGAGTTGATACGTTTAACATTTGGAGTGGGAAGGTTAAAAAAACCCACCTGATAGGCTGTTTTTTGCTTGAATTAATACATGCTGCATTATTTTTTTTAACTTTCTTGGAACAAGCTGCCAGTGAGGGCTTGCAAAGGGTACTGATCCCAGGACAGACAGGCTTTTTGCTCCTTAGATGCTTGCCCTCTCCTCTGTGTCTATGAACAGCTTATCCCAGCCCTACCATCTGTTTCTAGGAGAAAGCTCACCATGAACCTGAAGCATATTCCTGAAAGAGACTCCTTTTTTTTTTGCTTTTATCTCTTCCAAAAAGTATTTGAGGTGCACTTATACCTAACTACTTTGAACCTACTTTGTTATGATTCATATTTGCACATTTCTGCTTGAATATTTCTATAATAAGGTACACTTTCTTACGTAAGAGGTAAATTATGGTATGTCAAGGAAGCAGAAATGATTGGCCTTTCTTGCAAGTTCTTTTGCTGACTTCCTGTGTGGCCTTGCACAACTCTTTCAGTCACTATGTACCTTGGTTACTGTGAAATGGGAATATTATTATTATATTGGAATAATGGAAATATTACTTCATGTTGTGGCAGTTTTCTGAGCCTAAATTAATCTCTCTCAACTCTTAAGTATTCTAAAAGAGCACATGGAACATGTTCATATGGTGTGCGACTGGAGTGGTTTTAATTCTAGCCATTGTTGCCATCCTTACGCTGGCAATTACTATGTCCATAACATGACTGGTAGAATAGATCCTGTGAGTGTTCCCTAAAATTCTGTTCTGTACAAAAATAGCAAGGTTATCTGAAATGCCTTCTTGCACAGGATGACCATTAGTGGGTGTTTGGAGACAGTGCTTTCCAGTGGTCTAGCTGTACCCAAAAGGGAGAATCTATCTGTGCCCTTGGAAGTACTATATGAAAGCCAATATACAAAATAACCCAATTTTTTTTCACAATTCTTTGTGTATTGAAACAGTTTTGCCTGGTTATTGAGTTACTCAGGTGTGACTCATTTGCTTTAAGTTTAATACATTTACGCTCTAGGAGAAAATTTCTTATCTCACTGGAATGTCAATACTTCTAAAAAGTATCCTATAGTAGGTGCTGTGTACCTAAGTAAAACCATAAACTAGTGTTCTTGAAGGTGAAGGGAGGACACTTAGCATTCAGACTCTGTGAGAAATTTCTGAACTTTATAAACACATTTTCTGTCAGACTCTAGGCACCCTAAAGTAAGTCATGCATGGTACAGAGAACTGTTACCTCTTGGAGGAAGTGAACAAGATACCCACTAAGGCAGTAGAGAGCAGAGGACAGCTTAACTGACTGTTTAATGAGTTGCTGAACAGTTTTAAAAAAAAGAAGAGCCTAGAGCATCGTTTTCTTTAGTTTCTGTGTCAAGTTTTTGACGTTGAAATTGCATCATTTGCACCTTCAGTAGATTTTTTGAAAGCAATAGAGAGAACATTTCTATTTCAGTTATGTTCACTTAGTTGTTGCACTGCATTGAAAAACATTTATTTTTAGAAATGCTGCTAGATTTTAAAATTCTACTAATGTTTAGTAATTGTTCTCTGGCTGAATTTGCATGCCATATTGGCTTTTACAATGATAAATACTTGTTAATAGTTATCCCTCCTTGTAGATGCAGTTAAACTGATCTGAAAGTAAACATCTCATCTTTTGACTCGTCTTTTGTTGGCCAGCTTTCAAAGTGTCCATGTGGTAGCTTAATTAAATCGATCGCTTTTAAAAGCAGTCAACAAATACTGTACAGGCACTGCAATTTGTTTATATGCCTCATGATTTAAAGTAGTTTCTCATCCCAGTTTGTGCTTTTGAAGTACAGATAGACTATTTCCAGGAGAGTTGTCACACTCCAAATATTGTTGAAGTAAAGATATATGTGATAGCTTAGAGGGTTAGTAAAATTGGAGAATGTAAGCAACCTAAACTCAACAAGTCATTTCAAGCTCATAAATTCTAGAGCCAACTTTTAGGTATTTTCTGAAAAATGCCAAAAAGAGCACTTCATCCATCTCACTTACAGTAAAATACAGAATACAATGCAATGAGCTAGGTATATTTTTTGTGCAGTTCATTTTTCAGTTCATATACTCTTAAATATTTAAATAAATGTGAAACTAAAGTTCTGTTGTAACACTCAGCCTCAACATCACTAAGTTGCAGTAACGCGCTTGTAAAACCAACGCTTCTGTTTGGAAATGCCATAATTTACCTGCAGTTTTATGCATTTATGGCAGATATTTTACCTGGAGTATTAGACTTCTGATACAAATGTATAGCAGCCCGTTAATTTAAGGAGTTTTGCTTGCCTATCTCAGAATAAATTTTAATATCCTCTTAAGAGCATATAGGACGAATTGCAGATCCATTGCATTTAAATAAGATGTACTGTATATATATCTATAGTTCTGAAGCAAAGCTATGGATCTCTCAACCTTTAAATGACTGCTAAAGAAGCATTTGTAAATTACTTTTCCTTTTTTTTTTTTTTTGTGTGTCCATGACTGAAAAAATCAGGTAGGAAATTTCCCCTAATGTTGCATATGGAAAGAAAGTCCATGTTGTCCTATAGGTAAAATTAGTGTTTTCTGTAGGTTTCAGACATAGTGTTAAATATCCTAATGATAAAACTTGTTCTTCTTTTACAGATAATACCTGGTTGCTTCAAGGACAGTGTCTGTCTGGAGAAATAAAGGATGTTTCCTGTCAAACTATCATTCCCTTTCAGTTACCCAGGAGCCATCTGTCAGCTGAAGCTATCCTGGCTGTCAAAGCGTGCCTCTACTATTGCAGCAAAGGTAGCAGTGCCTGTATGATGAAAGGAATCTCATTCAGTCAGCCTTTACAAATAGCTAGTACAAACCAAGGCAGCTTGACTCAAGTTGAACTGATACACACGTTTTTAACCAACTAACCCAAAGCCAGCTAATTTCATACTTTATTTTACTACCCACCTGTATTTTACTGTAGGAGAAAAACTTTTCTCCATTGTTCGTTTTCCTGGAGCTTATGACAAAGCTAAGAAATAATATATGAATATAAAATGAAGTAGATTTCCCTACAGCTTAACGTGAAAATTTATCATCACAACCTCATTTCTTTTCATTACAGTAGCAGCGATAATATTGTAATACTCTAGACTGTTGCCAATTGTGAATATATTGGATGTATGCCATTCTAAGCAATGAGCAACAATTTTTGGAGTCCTTTTGAAAGAGCTGGTGTTACTTTGTGATGCTACTGTAAGAAGTTCTTTGCACTGTACATACTGCTAGAATAGTTAGATCATTTCGGACTAACAGTTACAAATTCCTTTTGTGCCCTTACTAAATTTTAATAGAATGTCAAAACGAATAGTTTCTTTCTCTAGGCTGTAAAAGAAGTATCTTGCTTATTTTTCTGTAATGGCATTTATGACACATGTATTTTGAAAATACATCTTGAAGTAGGTGCAGCTCTAATTTTATGCAAACTGAGTGTTTTGCTTAACTAGATATGACCGCCTAATATGAAGAGCATAGTTTCATGGAAAAATTTCTGTGAAAGGAAGTGTTCAAGTTCCTACAGCAGAATTTCATGCTGATTTCTAACAAAGAATGTGCCTCTCTCTAATCTGTATATATATGAAGAAAAAAAAAACCACAAAACCATGCTGGAGTTTTTCTGATACATACCAATTTACATTTTATACTAAGTGGTAGATAATGATTGAATATCTAAACTGCAAAAATTAAATGTCAACCATTTCAAGCAGGGTGAATCACTTTCCTACTTTTATGATTTCTCTGTAAAGACTTGTCTGAAGACTTCTGTCTTGCAAATACATAATATTAAGAAAAATATTATACTCTTGAAGTCTGATTCAGAGTCTTTTGAAGTCACTGTTAGTCCCCCAATTTGTAATAGTGGCCATGAACCAGAACTATATATTTAATAATGGATTATTTGCATTCATGTTTAGAGGTTTTGAGCTTTTGCTAGAAAACTGGTAACCTAATCTTTGAGTAAGGTGCTTTAAAACTGAATTACAAAACTCTGCCTTTGGAGGTTAAGTGTTTTGCAAGTAAAATTCCTTCAATTTGCCATAGTAAGTAGCAGGAATACAGGAGGGGAGTGCAAGTTCTTTTACTTGAACTGGAAGAGTTTCCACAGTGCTTAAGTGGTAATTGGATTAGGCTCTGCGTTCTGGCCATGAGAATCAGTTCTGAGAAGATGATTTTGTTTTAAGTTTGAAGATAGTATTTTTACATACATTATAAAGTACAGTAGTGAAAGAATTTTTATATAGTCTTTTCCAAAACAATCACCATTGTTCCTGACACCTGTCAATAAATCCCCAGTATGATTTGTTGTTGCTCTTTCTTACTTAAAGGCTGACTGAAATGTTGGTCATGAACCCGAGAGGCTTTTGTTTTAAGGGAACCGTATGGACTGGTGTGGTTTTTCCTTCCATTGAAATGCCAGTCTATCTGCAAGTTCTCTGTAGTACCAGAAATGGTTATTATCTCACCTGTCAGCAAGGCAGGGGCTGAACTATTATTTTTCTTGTGTTTGTTTTTTAAGCAACTTTTCTAATTCAGTGTTTCAGCTGCTTTTAGTAAGCCTCTCAATTCTCACATGCCATTTTGAAGGACAAAGCTTTGCTACTTTGTTCGCACATTGTAAATGCTATTGGAAGGATGGGGGTAAAGAAAATGATTTGGGCATTTGTCATTTTTTACACTTTAGTACAACTGACTCTTAGAATTTTTTTTGTTTGTTTAACTTTGGATAGTAGCCAGGAAACCTTAGATCAGCTTCCAGCTAGCCCACAGATTTTCTGTTGCTTACTGAAGAAAACAAGCATTAATTTCAGAAGTTCAGAATAACGAACCAAACTCTTACAGTTATCTTGAATGTATAATTCAGTAGATGGATTTTTTTTTTCTCTCATTTTCACCTAGAATGACATTGTATTTGTCTATTTCAGTTGGATGAGATCATAAAATTCCAGTATTCAAAAAAAAAAGTCAACAAATCTGTTTTCTTATTGACACTTTTTAATTAATGTATTGCTATAGGGGAAAGACTGTGTATTCCTAACTTTATTTAACTTTAGTGTGTAATGTTTAAATATAGTATTGTAGATATGTTTTCTATCTAAATGTACACATATGAATGTGTGTTTAAGTGTCATATCCTTTTTGTTTTCAAGTTTCAACTTCTAGTCACTGTATTTAGACACACTCCACTATAAGCTTATTGGGAAAGGGTGATAGTAGGTAGTAGGAAAACCATTGCATAAGCATCAAGCTGAAGTCCAGGATCAAACTGTAAAGGACCTTTAAATATTTAGTTGTAGCCAAATTTCAAACAATCATATTTCAAGGAAATAGTTTCTTCACTAGTGGAGAACAGGAATATATCTGTCTGAACCAGTTTTTTCTTTATCTTTTAAGTCCATGTCTTGTGGCAGATGACTGAATCTTATACTGCCCCCCACTCTCCTAGTTTATATACTATATCCATGCTACTATTACTCTTTCTACAAAGCCTCAGAGCATTCCTTGCTACTGCACTGTAATGGCTTTATACTAAAGGAGAGGCAGAAGATGTGATACCATCTTAAAAAGACACATAACCCACTATTTACAAAGAAAATCTGTATATCCCAAAATGCTTTACCCCCAAATCCGGTAAGTCCCTTTTAGGCAATAACCCCTTTAGTTTGCAGGAGAGCTGTTTTTCCTGACTCATCTTAGTGGGTTTCATATAGGGACACTGCTCTAATCATTCTCCTTCGTCATCTTAGGAGCAGCTGATTCTCAGTGTGCTCCAGTTCTTGCTGATGAGGTTACTGGGGTTCTTCTGCTCCTCGCTCACTCAGTCTGTGTGTTCGCTGTGATTGGCCTTTAATCATATAGCCTAATGCTATGTTTTGTTTATCCAAGGACTAGCGTACACATTCCTGGAGTCACTCCTTCTGTTTCACTTGTGGTATACAGACATTTGAATGTTCTGTAATTAGAAAAACACAGTTTTTAAAAGCTTATGATGTTTAGGGATATTATTTCCATTGCTTCCTCCAGGGTTTACAAGATGCTCTTACAGTAAAGCAGCAGGTGCCATAAATGTAACCAGACAGGCAAACAGAATAGCACATACAAGCTACAGAAATTTGTTTCAGTTAAGTACCAGAAACCATCTTCAAAACGTGATTCAGAAAAACAGAAGACTTTACTACTGTTACTTCTGAAAAATCAGATATATTGATGACTGCTATCTTTTTGTACGGTAATTTAGTTTATTAGTGTTTCCTGATATAAAAATTCTGAGCAGATTGGTATGGCTCAGCACTCCCAGATTTGTATCTTACAGTAAAAGTATGTAATTCAAGGCCTTTTCAAAACATGTCTTTCTACTGACTTTAATAGGTTTTGCATCAGACCTTAATAAATTAATAAATTACTATAGCAAATCTCTAAAGACTATTGGTCATGGTTGTATTGTATAATGGAAAGAAGTTCAGTGGCATTTGCAGTTTAGTTCTAGCGTTTGCTTTCCTGGAACAGCTTTTGGTTTTTAATGAATATATTAATAGTTCCATGAGATGTTTTTAGAAATTTTATTTAATTACAGTACCATATTCTTCATTAGACTAGAAAAAAGATAATGTGGTTTCAAAGGGAGAGCATAATGTATTTTAATAGGTTTTTCATGTTGTCTGAATTCAGCAGTAACTTTCTGTAGTTTGTTCCCTCCTGTTGAAGGAAGAGGAGGGATGCTGACTGTGTAAACCTATTGATGGGCACATTTTATGCACACATTTTTAGTTGACTCCTTTTTGTGTTAGATTCTCACATGTCATTTTGGGCTTTTCTGCTGGATGCACTTCTTCATAGTTCGTGTTTTGCCTCTCATGTCTTCCAGTTGTAGAGCTCTATGTTTGTATAATGCTGTGGTAATGTCGTGATACAAAGTGAGTACAGACCAGATGAGTAATACATGAGAAAGTAGTTTTATAGAATCATGTAAATGCCTTATCTCCTTAGCCTGAGTAAAGGTGCGTATGGCTTCCAGTACATTGTATATATTCTTAATGCACTTTTTTTATTCCAATGGGCAAATCTTTGCAGCTCAAACCATGGGTAAAACTATTTTTTGTGAGAATGTCAAGAAAAACATATTCCTTATCTCTTGCTCAGAGGAGGGGGATGATCAGAATGAAGTGACTTTCCTTCTCGTGCAGGGGCATGTCCTTCTGTTCCTTTAATTATTGACTATTTATTTTAGCAGAGAGAGTTGTATTATTGACCACAAATTCTCTTGAATTTTTGATTCCTAACAAGGTTTTCTACATACATGGAAGCTTTAAATGTCTGACTTTGTAGAGTTACGAGTGATATATCTAGTTTAAAATGGCTTATAGTTTAGCAGACAATAGCAGAGATTTATGTACATTCTTATGATCTGTAATTTTTTAAAGTCGCTGTTACTGATTAAGACTTACCTCAGAGAGACATTGCAGCTGAACTCCCACAGAAGTGTGTTCATAAACTGTGTGTTGCAACTCAAAAGTGAGTTTTTTTGCTTGTATAATGCGCGAGAGATGCTGTGACACGTTGCCTATATGTGTCCTCCAGGCTGCAGTTGTGCTACCTGGGGAGAATTTACCATGCACAGCAGCTTATCAACCACTCACACTAACTCTCCACTCAAATCTGCCAGCTCAGTTGTTCATATAATCAATTAAAATTACTGATTTATGTTAGCAAAGATTTAGTATTTAGAATTAATCATTATAATTTTCATTGAAATTGGTTTGTCAGGGATTAGAGGAGCTTCTCTGTCCCAAGCAGGTAAAGTGTAAGAATGGTGACAATTAGTTGGAGACAGTTGTTGAAAATGTGAGACCTGGTTATTTTTTAATTAAACCACCACATCTGTCTTTGTATACTACAACAGATCATTAATTTAGAAATGGTATTTCTAATATTTTACATTCCATTATGTTCATATAACCAAATTTGACTACTGTCTTCCATCAGAAGCAGCTGTTCTTACATTTTACAGTTTTTGTACTATCATATGTAAAATCACTTACTCTCGTTAAGGATTAGGATTCATTCTTGTTAAGGATTCAGCACACCTATGATTGAGTTTCCAAGTTTGTCTTAGTTTCTTTGTCATAATATTATGGGGGATTTTGGTTAGGTTTGGATCTATCTTTTCCTCCTGTAGTTTCCCCAAGAATGAAATGCAGCCAGTATCTTGTTACCATGGAGGGATCCAAGTAGGGTAATTCCCTCCACCAGCTCCTTGCCCCTCCCCTGCTTTAGGGATGGGGATGTAAACAGCAAGTGCAATAGGGCTGTCCCATATAAAGATAACATTACCTGGCAGCTCACTCCAAAAGGGTGCAAATGAGGTGACAATTTCAGGATGAGTTACACCATGACACTAATCTTCAAAATGGATAGACCTAGTGCATACTGGCTTTCTGGGGTTTCCTGCTTCCTAGGTCTACTTCTCTTTACGGCCTATAAAATCTTGCTCCATAAAGAAGGCAAGACTTCTGCCCTTATTCCTGCAAAAATCTTCAGTTAATTGATTCATTAGTAGTCTTTATCTTAAGATAACCTGGTAATAATTACTGGAATTTAGGACCTATCTGGACCCTCCCCCACACTTCTAGGTAGCATTAGAATAAGATTATGTCCTCAGGTCAACTTCATCAAGCTTTACACTGATGCAGCTACCATCAAAATCTTGACCTTTACTTCTGGCCCTGTCCAGTGAGGTCCTGAAGTTGTTTCTAGATCTCCCAGAGCATCCCATCAAACTTGAGTAGCCTATGCAGGGGTTTTGATGGCTCTCAGTTTCAGGAAACTTTGATACTATAAATGAAATACTTTGGCTATTAGGTGATTTGAAAGATACCCCAGTTTGCTATCTTTGCTATCCCAGTTGCAGACTGTGCTTAATTATTTTCAGAGGGTAACACATTTTTGTCGCAGTTGCAAAACTAGAAATCTTGGATATAAGTTGAGGAGTGTTTGTGCAGCTATAATTACTTACTGCTTAGTGTACCTCTTTGTTGGTCCATTGCTTTCAAGTGTACCAGAGAACTGGTTTTGCAGGCCCTAGGGCTAAGCAAAAGAATTGCAAGTATTTTTCAAGTCTTGCCTAGTTCCTTTGAAACATCAACAATTTTGAGCTGAAGAAATCCCACTTGTAAAAATCTGTTCATAAATCTACCTTAAATTAATGCTCTGTACTCAACATGCCTCAGAAGAACAATATTCCACACTATATTTTCCCCCTTTTGACTAAGTATTTAGAAACTCAACCCATCTGGCCATTGTCAGACTTCATAGAAAGCAAGATAACGATTCCCAATTTGATTTTACATTCATGTTTTTTAAAAATAAGAGCTTGTTTTTCAAGCTTTTGATTAAACTGAAATACCTCATTTTGAACCATCCATTCAAGGAATCTGTCCTGAGAGTTGCCTGTGTCAGATAACTGGCTTCCAGATTTTAAAAATTCGGAATTGATAGTGAAGTGGAGGAACAGAATTGCTAAATGTTTTATGTTTTGAATGTTTAACTTCAAAGCTATCCAATTTCACTTTTAAAGGAGAATTAGTGCAATTAAAACTTTCTCTTCTGTAAAGCATTACCATTAATGTACCATTAATCATTGTATCATTAAAACCTGTCATAGGTCTTTGTGATTTTATAAAGAAATCAATAAAGAAAAATAAGGTAGTTGTAAAACTGCGACTGGGTGAAATCCAGGTGCTCCAAGGTTAGCAGCAAATATCTTTAGAGCCAGTAGTTCAGCCCAATGTGACAGAAATTCTGCATTTTCATTACATCATGATGGCTGAAGGAAAAAATCAGTGCCTACAATACTTTGACAGTGTATCCTTACAGAAATGTTGGAGTACTGATTGAAATAAGGTATTTGACCTTCATGGTTTGCAAGTTTCAGAGGTTTTTAATTCTCTACTAATTCTGAAACTCTTCAGAGTTTTCCTTCTCCTTTATGTTTTTGAATTACGTTGAAATTAAGGTGCTTTTTGTTCAAGCTACTCTTCTTACGAAGTACTTTAAAATGTTTTTTCTCAATCTTATGAAACTGTTGTTACCTCTTTTGTATACTTCAGAACAAACTTGGCAAGGAGATTTCAAACATCTTGCTGAAATTGTGATATGAGAGAGGTGAAAGGCAAAACATTCATTGATCTAAAAGGGCGAGGGTGATGCGTCTTGGTATTTGAGGGGTGGAGGGTTGGTCTTCATTTTGTTGGGTTTTTTCCCTGTTTTACAGATCAGCAAAGATTCTTTAAATGGCAGAAGTGTGTGTAGAGGCAGCTAGGAAGGGTCAGGTTCTCTCACTGTGAAACCATATAACTTCATTTAGGTTATGATGCTGGGATGTCTAAAAATCCCAGCAGTATAATACTGGTGAAGAAAGTCACATCTGAGCATTTAACACCTTAATGAATGTCTCCATATGGTTTAAGGGGAAAGACGGGGTTTGTTTTTTTTTTTTCTTCCTTGAGAACTTCAGTGTTGCTTTGTGGACATTGGAATATTTTTGTCTGCTCTTTGAGATACTAAACCTCTGGTTTTCCATTACATGCAATGCAAAGCCTTTCAAATATCTGAACATTTAAAAGATGTGTTTTATGTTTGTTGCTACAAAATATGTGAAGAATTAAAACTGAAGGCACTTCATCTACAGCTGATATAGATTGTGTAAATTCTTCACATACAGCATTGCCTAATAGCGTTCTTAACAGTATTCATGGATTATGATCCTTTTTAAATAAAAGGTAAATGTCCTGTAATACTATGAGAACAAATAAATACACTGTAGAAGAAATGTCAGCCTTGGATATCAATTCAACAAATAAACAGTGATTAAAGAATGTACTCTTTCTCCTGTGAAACCTCTTTCTCCTTGTAAAGCTTTTTCATGGAAAAATAAACGTTAAAAATTTTATCTTTTCTTTCAAGGCTGGGTTTGTCTGTCAATCTTTACATGAACATGGATGTGGAAGTTATGAAATGCGTCTGCCGTAAGGGGTTACAGCTTGATTAAAATCCTTTAATTAACAAGTACTATTCATTTCACACTCCCTTTCCCACAGGGCTCTGCAGTCGTGGGTGTCAGCCGACCATTCAGTGACCTGAAGGTTGGTGAAACAGCGTGCAGTCGTGAGGACTCCCCAGTTTCAATGTTACACAGTGGTCTGGAAACAAGAGATCTGGTTTTATTCCATTTCTGCACATAAAAGAGATGAGAAATGGTGTACTGCATGAGTCATAGGCTGACTGTTTTGTAGCCTTCAGCTTATTGCAGAGATCCCAGAGCGAGCTTAGCTGCTGGAACAGATCTCGCTGCATTGAGCTCCACTTTGAAGCACTGTTTGGCCATATTGCTGTGGCTAAACTGCCACGGTTTGCAGTATGTGGGTGCCCGTTTAATAATTATGGTCGAACCATATTTTAACAGCAGCTTCTAAAAAATATAATTGTTTTACTTGCATAACAGTTTTGCAGCTGTGACTAAGAACATATGGATACAGAGTACTAACACAGGCTTCTCGTGTGCACCAATGCAACTGAGGACCGATACCAACATACCTACGAAGATAATCTCTTATTTATGCTGCTCATCATCATTTTATTGATACAATGATTTATCGTTAATGAAAGCATCGTATGCCAAAAATTCCGGCATATTTACTATAGGTGAGCCCCAGCAATAGTAAGTGTAGCTCTGTTGAATTTTTTTCCCCTTGCTAAAGATTATTGCTCATGACTATTCATCCATTCAAATGTTTAAAACATTTATACATACTACTTATAAAACTCAGCTAACTTTCTTTGATTTCCATCCAGATTAAATATATTCAGCTTAGCCTGATGCAGTAAGTCTGAATTTGACAAACATTCAAACAAATTTATTTGCAATTTCTGTGTTTTGTTATAAAATGCATCTAAAGCTTCTACCGAGCCTAACTCAGCTAGCTTAGGCAGGGTCGTGCCATCTCTCAGCATCTTAGTGAGCATTTGCCTCAGATCATAAAGCTGAAAGTTTACTTGCTTTCAGCCATCATCTCTGAAATGACACCTTCACCCCCAACTTTTATTTAAGTATTCTTAAAACAATAAGCCTGTATGTACACAGACTTGTACATTCTATGTGCAAACAAATCTATGATGCTTGTGTGTAACGGCATTTGTGTGACTGAGCTGGACTTGTGCATTTTGCCAGAACCCAGGGAGGCACTGCCCGGTAGAGATTTCTGTGGTCACAAAGTCGCTGCTCTAGGAAACAATCAATTAGGTTGTTTCTAAAGGCAAGGGAAAGGAGCCTTTCATGTGAAATTCGCTAACGGGGCCAAGATATTTTCTTGTTATTGCAAGGGATTCTGCAGTCTTCTGCCAAGAGGAACTTATCCAGAGATCGGGTGGATGGGGCTTTAAAAGGCTTCTCTCTCTGCCTTGTCCTTCCCATCTGAAGTAGTTTCCTGTGGCTGTTCAAAATCATGACCCTGCTGCCTCATCTGAATTTTATCCTTTCTGCCTGTCACCCTGGTATTTCGTGCACACAATCCCACCAGAAACTGAAAACGATACCTGATGGCTATTCTATGTGCTGCTGTCTGTAGCAAAATTCTACCCTTGCTGTAACTGGGCTTTCTAGAGCTGGTTTGTTCTCCTTTGCCCTCTTCCTTAAGCACAGAAATCAAAGCAGAGGTGAGGATGCCAGCCTTCAAGTGTAAAAGAATAGCTTCCTAAAGTATTGCTACAGCAGCACATGTTGTTTCTTTCATTTTTTGGAAAAGCATTAGCAAGTTGTAACCCTTAGTTAAATCTCTCCATGTTTTTCCTGTCTCAGGCATTCCCTTAAGCAGAGTATGTGGGCTTACCAGTGCTCAGAGCTCCTACCAACAGGCTGTAAACAGTGGGTGTATTTTCCAAACACTGAACAAAGCTGCAATATTAAGGAGTGGTTAGATATTAATGAAGAGGTTGCTTCAGTAAAACCAAATACTTAGTCAAATTTACCTCCGTGCTGTATATCCACTCATGAATTCCATCCACCATGGAACTGCAATGTTATTTTTGATCTTTGAAGCTATCATTGCAATTATTGTCCTTGAGAACTGAAAAGTTCTAATGGCATCTTTGTTTACTAACAAGAAGGCAGGTTTAATATTTTCTTTATACAGCAGGGCTTGGGAAAGCACATCACTTCCCTAGCGAAGATCCGAACCCTGCGTCTGAGATGAGAGCAGGTAAGTGTGATGTGTTTTAAGCAGAGCAAAGCAGAGTCAGCAGTTTAATGGTCAGCAGCAAGCGTAAGCAGTCGTTACATCAAGGCCTCTGCGCTTTCCCTCCCTCTCCTTATGCACACTGACACACTTAAGACTCGGCTAAAGCTGTGATGTTTTCCAAGTTGTTATCTGGGGTTAATACTAAAATACAGAGATCATTAAGAATGAGAGATGTAACTGTTTTTCAGAATCTTAATACATTCAGCAAATGGAATCACAGGAGAGAATGTAAAATTGAAATGCACCAAGCAGTGCGTAGGAGCATCGATGCCTAAATGGCGGTTAAATCCAAGGGAAATTTGCTGGGGGCTACTGAGAAAGCCGTCATTTAAATTTTTCTCTTTATGCAGTTGAGTGAAGAAGATGGATTTAATTAGCGTTTTTGCCGTGCTCTTAGCAGTGGAAGTGCTATAAAGTGCTGTTGTTATCGCAGACTCAAATCAAAGGAGGTGCACGTGGCAGAACTTCTTAGACCGTATGAGGAATGTGCAGAGGTTGTCCTGGGACGCTCAGAAATTGAGTCCCTAGTAGAGTGACAAAATTTGCCTCACAAATTCATTGGCAAGTGTGAAATGAAACATTTACTGAATCATAACAAGATTAGTTATGAATTTAAACTAGCAGGGGATTAAAATTTTTTCTTTACTTGAGGATGCTGAACAGAATGATTCTCTTTCCAGTAGGCTTAAGTTAAGTGGAAATGCATAAAATACAGGAGAATACAGAACTTTACTAAGAGAAATGAAGTAGGATGGATGTTATATTTTATATAGAAGTTTAAGTATCTTTTTTCTAATATACAGTGAGCTTGCTGATTTCAAAAAGTACCTATTTTTAAATGTTAGTGGATGGAGAGTCTCAGCAACTTTGTGACCTGCTTCTGGTCTATGTAAGTATATCCCCTTTCTCATGGTTATATATTTTTCTTACACACTCGGTTCAGGATCTCTCCTGCTTTCACACACTGTGGTAGCCTAATCACCATCATGCTCTCTGGGACTCTTCATATCGCAGTTTTGGTCTCGACAGTAGGAGAGACTACCTTATTGTAGACATCTGATGGCAGGCATGCATCTGTTTTCATAGAACAGTCTAGCTCGGATGAACCTGTCACAGTATTTGTTTTCCACCTTCTCGTAACATACAGAAAGCTTGTGGAGTACCTTGTACAGCAGCAAGCAAAAAATGATCAGGATTCTTTTGGATTTAATCCGTGTTGAAGCTTCTCACAGTCTTGAAGGAAATTCGTATTTATGATTAAAGTGGTCCCAGGAAAGAGCTAATTTGCTACTTGCAAAAAATCCCGAGTTTATGTTGTTAGCCCAGAAAACTTGTATGTTTTAAACTGAGAAATGCTTACAGTTAAGTAAAGAAATTTTCAGAAAAAAGTGTTCAAGTTATTCTGAAGCAATTCTGACCTGTCAGCTTAACAATATGAGGACTATTGTAAGCAATGATATATCCTATCCACTTTTTTGTCAGACAAGGAAATTAGTGAGGAAAATCCACTAGGATTATGTTCCAACGTGGCACTTCAATAGTACATCTCAGCAGTAAAGTCATCTGAATTCTCCGCAATTTGGGAAGAGACTCAGATTCAGCAGTAAGTTTGACTCTATGATATAAACCATGTGAAGGCTGAACCCTTAGGTGGAATAAATTTTCCTGCTTCTAACTGGACAGTGGAGTTTATACATTTCTCCCAGGCAGCAAATAGATGCATTTATCCCTACATTGCTGCACTTCTCTCATTAATCTCTGCTGAGTTTTCTCTTAGTGACTATCACTTGATCCTTTTCACTTTACCTTCATCGCTCTAATTAGTTCTCCCAAAGCTTGCAACCCATTGACTATCTGCTTGTAGGTCTTTTCACTCACGAGAGAAAAGTAATCTAGTTTCTCTCACACTGGAAAAAAATATTCCTAACCCATACATCCCCTTCCCTTTTCTTTTTATGCTCATGAAATGTGCTATTAGCAAGAGCTCCTGCTTCCTCTATTTCACATCTATATTACATCCCACTAATTTGGCTGTCCCCATGCTGACCACTGAGATTGCTGTCAGCAAGGTTTCTAATGATCTATTGCTAGCTAAATCTCTTCAATCTTCTTGGCCTGCCAGTTGCCTTCAATATATACAACAGTCTTTTGGTTTTGAAATTTTCACTTTGCTTCTGTACTTCCCTTTATTCCGGCTCTCCACATACTTTGGAAACTGTTCCCTCATCATGTTCTTGGCTGAATAGTCCTCGTCTTCCCCATCTCCAGCTTTTGGTGGGAATTCCCCTGGACTGGCACTCTTCCTTCCCTCTTCCCTGTGCACACTTTGTCTCCGGATGGTACAAAGTTCAGCAACCACCTGTGCTGAGGAGTCAGAGTCCTACCTCTCTCCAGAATGGTCTCCTTCGGTCAAACTTAAGTTTCATCCTTTATCTTCCTTTGACTTCATAAGATTTAATATAGCTGAAAACTCCTAATCATCTCTTCACTATTCCTTCATGTTACTCCTTTCCTTTATCAAGCAATCCTGCTGATTACAGGTAAGCCTTAGAACTTCAGCGTTCTATCAGATTTCAGCATCTCACTAGATCCTTGCATTTGGACAGTATCTGAATTTTTGCAGATTTTTTTTTTCCCATCTTTTGTCTTCTCTCTCTCTAG